AAGTACCAATTTCACTTTCAAAGCATCAACAAACTCAAAATGCACCAAAACAGGGAAATCAGCAATTTAGAAAGACATTATAAAGAATATTAAATTTTTACGACAATGAAAACAAGCGTTACCAAGTTATTATTAATAATATCTTAGAAATATTATTTAAACTACTGATGAAATTTGAATCTAAAAAGAAATTTAAAACAATTGTCGTACAACAGTTCTATATTAACGGAAAAACGGTATCAATACATTTCCATTATTGATATCCAATTATCATTATAATTTTCCCGTTCAGTGATTACGTAAGCAAGACAAACCTCTTTACTAAATTAACGTCTCGGCCATGTACGACTAGGAGTGCCACTCCAAATATTTGCTGGCACGCTAACTTAACGTCTCTTTCCAAATACCACCTATTATTTCAATTAAATTGGTACAGATTAAAAACAGTTATTTATTTACATAAATAACAATAATCTTAAAATATAGTAACTCAAGGCATACGTATTGAATATTGTCGTTTAATACTTTTGAGAAATAAAAATTTCGAAAACGTATAATTTCTTTAATTCATTATATTTATTCGAATAATAAGTAAAAAAAGTATTACATCCGCTAGTATAGTCGGCCACTCTGCCAAAAGTCTTTTCAGTGCCCGAAACTCCTGAAGTCAAAATAAGGAAGTCGAAGAAATGTAGTAATTAAGGCTTGAAGCGTTTTATTCTTTTCTAAAAACTCAACTCTTATTGAGATTTACCGCACCCTATTTGATCTTTATAAGTTCGAAAAGGTTTTTTCTGTTGCTTATCATGATTAATGCTCTCGAATTGGAGACGTTTTAAGGGTAAAAACGTGTAAGTACATCAGACTATAGTCTATCGATTTCCGCAATAAATACCCCATACTTCTTGGAAGTTCCTGCTCATGGTCTCAAAGCAACTTTTAATGGGGGAATCATAAACTATAAAACAATTCACAAAATGTAATAAACTTATTTGCGGTTCTTCAATAAAACCAGAGACAATTTTGAAAATGTAACAATACCGTATCGTAGATATATAAATGTATAAGATTTATCGCTCTTTAGGCAACCCAACTTACAGTGTTCGGCAACATGCAATATTCAACGTTTGATTTCTGATATTATAACAACCTGGTATCACGAGAATAGCATTGATTTTTAAATGCCTATGTAAAGGTAGTTTAGAATATCGTGGGCCATGACCTTCAATTACGAATTGACAAAACTCCGTCTGTACATTGATTTCTATCGCTATCATCTGGTCGTCGCCGCTTACATGGCTAACAATTCAGTTAACGTATTTGAAGTGGTACAATATGAATGCAAAAAGGTCAACCCTCGCACATTACGCGACCCAGGGCATTTTAAAATACCTCTAAAATGTAAATACCTACCTATGTATGTATGTAACTTCTCTTCAATTATTTACAAAAATTTCTACAAAGAAATCAACCTCCTTTATCAATAGCTTAATATATAGCTATCGTATCTATGTTCAAAGGTATTTAGTACACCTAAAAATATTATTAATAAATAATAATAGTATTCATTTGATAGCTACGAAGTAAAGTAGGTAGCTTTCTAAAGCAATATCTTTTTGTACCTTTGGTAAAAGTGAATCTACTTTAGCAGCAATGCATTGTGGAATTCCGACAGTTATGAAACAATTTAGTAAAAAACATTACCGTGCAAAATTCGCTCGCGGCACGAAGCTGACTTTTAAAACAGCATGACCATGAATGAATTTTGGATTTAATCTATCAACACTTTCAATAACTGTGTTGCATTGGCTTTCAACAGGTAACAGAAAAATTTTCCACTTCAGAATATAATCACAGGAAATCCCAAATCCCAAATGTATCAGATGTCTACTTACTAACAGTTCCTGAATGGAACATCGTAATACATAAATCTATATACCGGAATATTAACTTCTTTTTAAAGTCTGGATTAAATTTCTTATAGGTGATAGATGAATACGGAGCGGCATGGCCTAGAGCTGGGATGGCGAACCTTTACGTATCGACGTGCCATTTTTATAAAGAAAGGTTTAATCAGGTCAAAGATGTGCCATCAAATAATTTTGTCTTTGTGATTATTGGAAAAATAATAATAATATCAACTTAAACATTTTTATTTACTACAAAAAAATAGGAACATTTTGCAATGTTTAAAGTAAAATTAGTGTTACTTTTGTTGTTGCAGATTAGATGACAAATAACTTATGTTAGGGTTGTAAGATGTTACTTTTAGTAGAATGCATGCTGAACTGGGGTTATCTGTCAAACGATTTCTAGCCGAGTTTTTAATGTTATTCATCTCTGAAAATGACTGGCATGCATAGGTTGAGGAAAAAACGTTGTCAAAATAGCATAAGCCAGCTTCTTCAAACAATTAAAAGTGTTTGGTAACGCATTTCATGTTTCCAAAATTTTGTTATTAGCATTTTCACTTGTATTACCTGCCAATATTTCTGTTTCAATTAGTTTCCTTGTTTCAATAAAGTTTTGGATCCATATTGAACTAGACTTTATGATTGATATTAGTGACGTGCCTAAAATATTGTGTCGCGTGCCACTAATGGCACGCGTGCCATTGGTTCGCCATCCCTGGCCTAGAGGTTTAGACCATTGTTTAGCATTCAGGAGGACGCCGGTTCGATTCCGGGTCCGTCTGCCTTGGTCCAAGTTTTTCTGTGGTTTCCTTGGATCACTTAGGCAAATGCTGAGGCAGTAATATTCCACAGATAATGTTTCATTCTCTTCTGTCTTCATTTCGTCCGTCTCATCTTTCTCACCCGAACCACCACCCACCCATTCCCACGATTCCTAAACGCAGGCTGAAGAGGGCCTTCCGCTCTACCCTCCGGCGTATTCCGGAGGGACTACCCGCCCACCAGCATTACTGGCTGGTGGGAATGAAACACCCAAAAGTTTTATTTTTTTTTTAGATGAATAACATACAGAAAGTGGATTCGATCGTGGGATCTCGATCGCTTTTTAGTCCTAAAATATTGGCGATTAAGTCTTCCTAATTTCGATATTGACATCATTCCAAAATAGACTGCGTGAAGCAGAACCTTCGACAAAATTACTTATTTATCTGTCATTTTAATGCGAAATGCAAGATGCAAACAGGCATCACAGATTAACCGAGCGAGCTTACTTGTTTATCATTTTTTTATTTAGACTACACAATTATTCACGAAGTAACCCAATGAGTTTTACTTGCCTCTATCATTTTAATGTAGGCAAGATCGCTGGATTAATTTGATATACTTCTATACAAAAATCAAATACATAGAACGTGTCTCAAGCTGGCAGCTCTGCGAAATGATCGAGCTCCATGGAACTAAAAACGCGTGCCCGTATATTATTCAAAATGTTGATAAAATAATAAAAATGACCTTATAAATGAATGTAAAACGATCATTGGAGCAATACCGCCAGAAATAAAACTAAACAAAAGCATAAATCAAATTATTCTAATGAATTGACAGTTAAGGGTTGAAAATATTACTTAAACCGTTTTTAAAACTGGATAAAAGAGAGAAAAATTGTTATTAGCAAATTAATGTGTCAGTAAGTACTGCGAAGGATTTGAAAGGTTGAATGAATTATTAACACTGTTCTAAAAATTTCAAAAGCACCGTTTCGAACCTTTTCAATTTCAAAGTGTTATCTTAAGGGTGAATTTGCTAATAACAATTTCTTTTGCATTAGAAAATTTCTAGCTAAAATACACAGAGCAAGGATTTCACAAAGTCACTGTCTAGTTTAAAAATTTTTGAACGATTTAAATAGATTCTCTAACCTTTTATTTGTTAGTAACTTTTGCTTCCGAGAATTTCGCGATGGAGCACACCAAGGAAGGTTTCACGAAGTTGATTTTTATTTTTAAAATTTTTTCAACAATTTAGGTTTTTTTTTGAGTCCTTTAACCCCCTAAAAGCTTATCGACACAATGATTTGTCAATAGCAATATTTATAGCTTTTGCTTCTTATAATTTCAAACTAGTACACAGAAGAAGATTTTACGAAGTTGCTTATGTAGTTTTAAAATTCTTCGAATGGTTTAAGCATATATTCGACTCATTTACACCTCCCCCCCAAAACGCCAATAAATTGTTGATAACAATTTTTATAACTTTCATATCTGAAATTGACTACAGTCCCGAAATCTCAGGATTAGAAATAAGGACCTGGATTGAATTCCCTAGATGTAGCCCAGTACGATATGTATTTCTTTATATTTGAAAACAATTCATTAGTTACAATGTTTAATTAAGGAATAACTGGGAATATCATGATTTTGCGTATTTTAATTTGCAATTAACGACTATAAATTAACAAATGTCTTACAATTTAGCCCCTATTATTAAAACCGATGATTTTGGGTTTCCATGGCGATCAGTTCAGATTTCCCCCGAAGGAGAGACCTACAAAACTCGCGAAACGTTGACAGAAAATACTTAATTATAAAAATTTTTTTTCCAGGAAGCGCATAATATGGTTAGACAAGCTAATGAAAAACAACAAACCGCGGAAAAAAGCCTAAAGGAAAGTCAAATGAAGGTTGACGTTCTCACGGCTGAAGTGGCTGCATTAAAAACTCTTGTGCTCACATCGACACCTAGCAAGCCAAACCTACATTTACACCCTCACCTTGACCTAAAATCTAAAGAAGATTCATGTATGTATTGCGTTTGGTTAATCTTAAGCGTACCAAAACGTAAAAAATACATTTATGTTCATATTTGAAATAGTAATTTCGCTGAACACTTTGTATGACTTTTACATTTAAGTTAAATTTTCAAATAAGTATCAATGAAGTTAAAATTTCATAGTGTTTATTATTTGGTCTCATGCAACTGACTATGGACCTTCATACTAATGAACCTAATCTTTAAGTTACAAATTGTAAGATTATTTCTTAACTTCTTCCCTTACACGGGGGAATAGAATAATCACCAAAAAAAAAACAATTTATCTGATTTCTCAAGAATAGTCGATCACAAATTTTCGAATTTGGAGCAAAAATAAATTATTTCATCTTGCAGAATACTGCAAATATTACCTAGTTATGTAGTTATTATTAGTTATCTATATACACACAACAATCAATAGATTCGGGGAAACTATTGGATAGATTCCATATGTTTTTTATTTATTTTTCACTAGTTTAGTTTTACTCTTGGCAGGGACATAAAGATGTAGGTGGGAGTGGGTGGGTCAAGGTTCATACATTGAAAGTTCTGACCATTTGCGGGTTCACCCTGAATATTAAAATAACTCGTTATAACGTAAAGTTTCAAACCCAGTTCAATTTCACAATATCTATTATTACTTCTCAATAATAATCTTCCTTTTAATATTTTGTTTCCTTGACTTTCTAATAGGTTTAACTCCCTCGAAGACTCATAGGAGATCGCCATCTCATTTTAATCTTAAATATGGACGAGAAAATTCTCCCCCTGAATCACCAGTAAAAGAGGTTGGTCCCCCAATTAGTCTGGGATATGAAGGACTATCAAAAGATGAATTGGAGGTAAATATTTAAAATTAGAATAAACTTACTAATAACAAAATCAAGGGGACAAGTTATTTAAGTACGTAATATAATATATGTAAAATACCGACTATAATTTCAACAAACACTGTTATTGTTTAGTTGTTCTTTGAAGTCTCATTTTTCGCTAGGTAGATACAAATAAAATTAACATAGATTTAAATTTTAGGTGGACCCAGTTGTTCACGGAAAATTTTTAACATGGAAACATAAGCCCACACTTGACAAGAAAGATCCATTTGTACAACACATTTACGCTGAAGACATTGAGCAGTGTCTTAAATTTCCAAACGCGAAACTTTCGGAAAAAGTTAAAGCTGCAGTTGAAAATGGAACGATATTTGTCGAAGCTGTCAGTGAAAAGAATAAAGCAATGTTTCCTAAGTAAGATTGATATCGGTTTAATAGAGAAGAAATAACTTAACGATTAAATGTTCAATTTAAATTACAGAAAATGTAGTCTATTGGAAGTACCAAGGCTGTGCTTTTATCGCATCAATATAGGAGAAGAAAATATATGGTATAACATCTCTCAAATTTGTAGAAATAGAGTAAGTACCTACCTTTAGTTTCTTTTATGAAGAAATGTTTAATAATCGTAAACAATTGAATGCATGATCATTAATTATTGCAATAATTGTCAAAAAGCAATATCATTTGTTTGAAGATTCGGAATAAAATATGGTCGATGGATTTTCCTAATAAATGGTTATTTTATTTCAGATAATTGCCGTCTGTGATCTTCTAAATTATCTTAGATACATAGAAAGAGGATTAGTTAAAAGCTCTGGTAAGTAATGCAAATAAGATTGCGCAAGATAGCAGGACGCATCGGCGATTGCAAATTCGGGTTAATTAATTTTTAATTAATTACAAGGGTAAAATCGGCCGAAAACGTTTCGTAACCCTCAAAAATAAAATGTAAATTCGGTCGGTTTGTGTCCAGGTACCTTGGTTGACGGTAGCAACCACGACAGATATTTGAATTGTTTCGCTTAACTCAAGCGCGAACAGTAAAAAATGATAGGTACATTAATATTAAGTACTAAGGGAAAAAAGTACGCCACTGCCGCCCAGGTGTAAATTGCCACCCGAACTGAAGGCTAAGGCGGCAATTTCCCGGAGGTGGAGGTGATGTACATTTGTACCATACCCCTACCGAAAATATGATCAGTTTTTCACGCGCGATTTTTCCCGATTTCAAGGAATAGCGTTTACTGATAGGAAACTATTTTGTAATATCATGATGGTAGTTTATCCATTCTTAATAAGGAGTAGATGATTGTGATTTTTTACCCTAGAGCAAATGTTGTGCTTTTTTGTTGTTACACTGTTAGAAATTAATTAGGTACCTATCTAATATCAAATCCTATGCAAAACTCTCTGTAGAGTCTATATCTTATTATTTTATACTACTGCATCACCACTTCTAAATTATATTTTTTTAAATAACAATCTTCAAACAATAAGAAAGGAAATTCTTCCCTTGCCTCGAGTTTTTCAATCGACCGTTAAAATCAGTATCATTAGTTGACTGGCGCTTAACATAAAAAAATGAATCGGTACAATAATCAGTCTACCTCCTTAAAAATTTAAAAGAAGAATTCAGTGGAACGGTAGTTTCAAATAATATCTTCATTTTTGAGATCCCAATGTTCTGAGATAGGTTACATAGTCAAATTTTGCAAAATGCCTTTCATGAAACAACGTTGTCTTGTCGAAGAAGATAGCTAAATAAATCCGTAGGTACCTAATACTTAGGTAATTTTGAAACGAAATTTTACGTAATTATTTGCAAATGTATACCGTAAATAACAAATAATATTTTTTGTTTCTTTTTGTGTTACAGTGCCTGAAATATATTGGGAGATAATTCGTCTTCGAAAAAGTATCGCTTTGGCCAGGTTGGGATTGAACTTGCAAAGTTAAGACTTGCCGGGCTATGGAAGATGCGCAATTCGTTTGTTCTTACTTACAAGTGCCAATTTTACAAGATTAATAAAAGAACTTTAAGTTTATACCTAGATAAAAATAGAGTAGGTACATTAAAGTCTTGTTACCAAAGATTGGTGTGCTTGCTTAACCAGTACACAACGCGAGATATTCCGTACTATTTGTAAAAAAAATGAATAATGCATGTTTATTTATTTATATGCATAAATTATGTAATATACAAACATAGATAGGTGCCATTAATTCTGATCAAATCGCAAAAGTTATATCAAACAGTTTTTGCATTCCACTTTCATCAACTTACGATTAGGTAGAGAAATGTTTGTACATGTACAACTAATTCATAATATTACCTATAAAATATTGCTTAAAACCTTTGTATAAACATAAGCACAAATTATGACAAAACGAATGATTTTTAAAATTGCTGTTGGTACTTTTGGATTAATATCCAAGTTTTAATGGTGAGCAAGTTCATCTACTATGCTTAACAAAAAGGTAAAGAATGTTATAATAACCCATTAGTTATTAGGTGCAATGTCTGTTGATTGTTGAATATCATTACAAAAGTATAGTTTCGTTTTTACTTAGAAACCGGTCAACTCAAATGATTACTTTATTTTTGTAACTATTATTCTGTGTACATAATAAAAAAGTACCTATTATTTCTACTATTTCATTAAAAAATTTCTGTACAGCAAAGCCGCTTGTTAAATACGTACTGATTAATAAGGAGGAATTATTTTTACTTTGGCTGTAAAATCATTAATATTCTTGACTAAATATTTCCTACCTTATTAAGTATCATCATGTCTCTTTAATTATTCTCATCGGAAACAGTTATACGTATGTTTAAATTGTCTATACTAGAAGCCCGTCACTGAATCGTAATTTTACACGACACTACATTTCGCGTTCAAAATATTTAAAAATTATCACACGACCGCAAACCACGAGTACTCTAAAGAAATGATCTATGCACATTTCAAAGTAGCCAACGAAAGAAACCCTTTTAGGCTTGCGCGTAATGCAATTGCACTTTACTGGATTATTATTGGTCAAAGAATCGTAAATTTTTTACACATAGAATGGTCAGAGAGTGCTCCACTGACAACACATATTTAAACCGAATATAAATACAGTATCTCACAAATACCATCGAATAATCTAAAATACATCTAGGGTATAATACACGAATAGTCACAAAGAATATTAGGTTGGGAAAACTCCCCGATTTGAAAAATCGGGACAACCTCAAATGACAACATTAGCAACCACTATCTAGAATCTAATACCCTTCTACTAAAAGAGATCTAGGCAAAATTAGGGTAACTTTGAAGGCGAGGAGGAATTATGTATAATAATAAATAATTTTTATATGCCACGTGTATTATATGTAAGTAGAAATCAATCCAAAATAAGGGTTGTAAAGTTTATTGGCTTGCAAAGCCCACGCAGGTGTGGGTATTTTTGGCTTAATTTGCACGTGTAACCCAAATTAGGAGAAGAAATGGAACTGTTAAATTGGACAGTATACACCAGGAGTCGGCAACCTTTTTTGGCCGCAGGTCAAAATCAACCAAAGTGCGAGTATTAAAGAGACGTTTGGGTCAGAGATATTTTCGTATTACAACAGTATTTTGGTAAATAATAAGATATACATAGTTAAATAAACTTCATTTATAAACTTTCCCTACGATATCAATGGCTCCCCTGATGCTGAACTTGTGACGTCAATTTACTCAAGTCTGGTTTATAGTTAGTCGTTTTAAGTCAAACACAAGTATCTGAATTTTCAATAGTTAACCTAATCCTGTGTTTTTGCTTAAAATAAATTTCATTTATGAAAATATTTGTTCACATTTATAAGTGGACCCGAATGTGGACAAAATGTCAAAGCCAATTTTTTTAATGATGAAAACCTCGTAGGAAGCGATGCCCAACATGTTGATATCACGAGAAAATGATTATCTTCTGTATTTTCCAAATCGTTCCCCAATTTCTTGANCATAATAAAAAAGTACCTATTATTTCTACTATTTCATTAAAAAATTTCTGTACAGCAAAGCCGCTTGTTAAATACGTACTGATTAATAAGGAGGAATTATTTTTACTTTGGCTGTAAAATCATTAATATTCTTGACTAAATATTTCCTACCTTATTAAGTATCATCATGTCTCTTTAATTATTCTCATCGGAAACAGTTATACGTATGTTTAAATTGTCTATACTAGAAGCCCGTCACTGAATCGTAATTTTACACGACACTACATTTCGCGTTCAAAATATTTAAAAATTATCACACGACCGCAAACCACGAGTACTCTAAAGAAATGATCTATGCACATTTCAAAGTAGCCAACGAAAGAAACCCTTTTAGGCTTGCGCGTAATGCAATTGCACTTTACTGGATTATTATTGGTCAAAGAATCGTAAATTTTTTACACATAGAATGGTCAGAGAGTGCTCCACTGACAACACATATTTAAACCGAATATAAATACAGTATCTCACAAATACCATCGAATAATCTAAAATACATCTAGGGTATAATACACGAATAGTCACAAAGAATATTAGGTTGGGAAAACTCCCCGATTTGAAAAATCGGGACAACCTCAAATGACAACATTAGCAACCACTATCTAGAATCTAATACCCTTCTACTAAAAGAGATCTAGGCAAAATTAGGGTAACTTTGAAGGCGAGGAGGAATTATGAATAATAATAAATAATTTTTATATGCCACGTGTATTATATGTAAGTAGAAATCAATCCAAAATAAGGGTTGTAAAGTTTATTGGCTTGCAAAGCCCACGCAGGTGTGGGTATTTTTGGCTTAATTTGCACGTGTAACCCAAATTAGGGGAAGAAATGGAACTGTTAAATTGGACAGTATACAGGTATATACCCTATGCCTTTTAATACGAATATATTGAATGAAAATCTTGACCTGTTCATTTACACTTACAATTAGTTTGTTTTGCTTATAAGTACATCAAATCCAAAATGCAAACCTATGAAATTTAATAAAATCTTTGTATATCTTATACTTTATTTTCGGAACTAAAGTGGGTCACTCGGTGACCCACGAGTCATAGGTTGCCGACCCCTGGTATACACCCTATGCCTTTAAATACGAATATATTGAATGAAAATCTTGACCTGTTCATTTACACTTACAATTAGTTTGTTTTGCTTATAAGTACATCAAATCCAAAATACAAACCTATCAAATTTAATAAAATTGGATAACAAATAAGTGTAGGTACTGTATTTTAATGACACAAAGTCGTATTACTTAACATTAAGAAAAATGAAAAGAAGTGTGTCTTACTGTATATTGTATCTTACCTACCTACCTGAACAAAAAATGCAACAAGAAAGTTAGCAAATCAAGGGTTAATAAAATAGAGATGTTTGGCGTCCAAGATGCAATAAATCATTCTGCGATGTTTACTTAAGAGATTAGGGTGTTTATTTTGCTTAGCGCCAAGTACTTATACGCAGGTAGAAAAAATTGTATTTGTTGTAGAAAACAATATTCCGAAATATTAGCATTAAGAATTTGGATAAAACTATACATAAATGTATGTATAAAATTACATATTTATATTACATTTTTGCTTCTAGCCTTGGTCAATATTTCCGGAAGAATTTAGGATTAGATACCAAAATATTAATTTTTTTTATTTGATGGTATTTAAATAAAAAATGGGTATAAAATAAAATATTTATTTCAAAATCTACCTTAAAAATACACAATAAAAAAACGTCAGAACTATTCTTATATGCACGCTTTTACATAAATCTAATGAATTGTTAGTAAACCGTTATTCTTTCGCTAAAGCCATTTGTAATAGGGACATTACGTTGATTGATGACAAATCCGCTAATACCGCTTCGATATTTTGAATATCTTTTACCCTAAGTATATTATTCTTCCTAAATACTACAATTGACGTTGCTAAAAGTGGTATTATTTCTAAAGAGTCGTAAGCCAATATAATGTCCCATAAATAAAGAAGCTGTTCTTGAGGGAGATATCCACTAAAAGCCCTCATTATCCATTTTACCACAACTTTAATTCTGCAATATTAAGAAAATAAAGCTGATTTATCTATTTAGTAAATGATATCAAATATCAAAAAAAAAGCCATCTCATTTTAGTTTACTGAAAAAAAGTCAGTAGTCGCATAAGGATGCCTCTCCTACCTATAAAATAACTATAAATTGTATTTTGCTATTTCCTTTGATTTTTAAAATAACAAAACTTGCGTTGCATAAATATATAAATCTTGATCTTCAATTATGACAAGGAATTGCCAATAAGTATGATATAATTAGGGTTGCCACCTTTTCAGGCTTTACATAAAGTATTTCTCGACTAAAAGGTTAAAAAAAAATACTCAGCATAAAAATAAAGTATTTTATTTTTTGTTTTTAAAAACATATTTTTTGTTACACCTAGCAGCCAGTAACAAATTGCTGTCGCTCTTAAATACATTAATAGCCTCTAAACATGGCAAACAAAGATTTAAGTAAACTAAAAGTTCATTT